ATTAGTATGGGGGCCCCTATGCTCCTGGGGCACACAGGCAAATGCCTATCATGCCCATGCATTAAGACAGCCCCGTCTCTGTCAGGTAATATATGTGTGTATACACATAATTTTGTATTTATTGTTTGGTTTATGTGGTGAATCTTGGAAGTGATAACTTTGAGAGCTGTAAGCAATGAACTTTCATTTTAATGTATGCCGATTAGTGTACCTTCAAAGTGACCATAATGTTTATTTTTATTCTATTCCTATTTCTGTTCTATTCCTAATTCTATTCTGATTCTATTCCTATTTCTATTCTAATTCTATTCTAATTTTTATTCTATTCCTATTCTATTTCTATTCTATTCCTGTTCTGTTCTATTTCTATTCTATTCTAGCCCTGTTCATTTCTATTCCTATTCTTTTCGATTCCTACTTCTATTCCTATTTCTGTTCTATTCCTATTCTATTCCTGTTCTTTTCTATTTCTATTCCTATTCTATTTTTATTCCTATTCCTGTTCTTTTCTATTTCTATTCCTATTCTTTTCTATTCCTATTTTATTCTACTATAATTTCTATTCTATGCCTATTCTATTCCTATTCTATTTCTATTCCTGTTCTGTTCTATTTCTATTCTATTTCTATTCTATTCCTGTTCTGTTCTATTTCTTTTCTATTCCTGTTCTTTTTTATTTCTATTCCTATTCTGTTCTATTCCTATTTTATTCTACTATAATTTCTATTCTTTTCTATGCTTATTCTATTCCTGTTCTGTTCTATTCATTTCTATTTCATTCCAAGCCAAACCCACCCGGGGGCTTTTATGAAACCGAGTTCCGACAAATGAGACCTTGGGCTGAAAAACGAGGCGGGAGCTCTTCCCTCGTCGTCTCCTCCCGCGGGGACGGTGGCGGGGGGGAGACGGACTGGCCGGCCGCCGGGGTAGCTTGCTGAGGAGCCTGGCCTCTTCCCAGAGGCCGACCGGCCGTGCCGCTGAAGTCAGTCGGAGCGGGGAGCGAATCGGAGCTGCGCTTCCCCGGATCCAGACCGGCGAGGAAGCGCGATTCCCGCTTACCCGGGAAGCAGCCGGGCGGAAGGTGACTCCGGAGTAGCGCTGTGCGCAAGGAAGCGGCTGCTGTGCGTCCCCGGGAGGCCGGCCGGGCAGGAGATGAGAGGGGCTGACTAGGCGCGGCGGGGCAGCCCGATGGCCTGGCGGAGGAGGTCGGGAGCAGCACCGTTGTCCGAAGCCGAGCGCTTCCTCCGCTTCGGGCTCCCGGGCGTCGGTAGGGTCCCGGGAGGCTGCAGCGGCTTCGCCCCGACTGGCTGAATCCCGGAGAGGAGGAGGAGCAGCTGAGCTCCCGGTGGAGGAAGACCGGGGGATCCTGGAGCGACTCCTGGCCGGGCTGCCCCGGGAGATGGCGCGATGGCTGCGGGAGGCCCTGGCCGAAAGCTCCCCTGCTCAGCTAGGCCGAGGTGGGGAGGAGGCAGCAGCAAGTGAAGAAACTCCCCTCCTGGGAGGAAGATCCAGTTCTCTTGCCCCGATCAAAGGCAGGTCGTATCAATAGAAGATGCTCTCCATTCCTTCCAATTTCAGTCCCAAAGTTTTGGTTCCCCATCCAGGTTATTCCACGGAAAGAAAAAGGGAATTTGCACCTCCAACTCTGGTTATAATACAGTCCAGCTTTGGAGATACAAATGCAAGGCGTCACAATAAAAGAGACTATTTTTCCCCTCCATTTTGAGCCCCCAAGTTCTGGTTCCCTGTCCAGGTTATTCCATGGGAGGAAAAAGGGAGTTTGCATCTCCAATATGGCTATATAACTTGGTCCGGAGACCCCATCGTTTCTTCTGTTTCATTGTTTTAAGATTTCTTCTTCTTTCATCCTGGCTGTATTTGAAATGGCAGGGCCAGCCGATGAAGATGGCCACAGGACAACCTGAAGGCGGGGAAGATCTCTCTATTCTCTCTGTGGAGCAGCTTTTGGGCTTCTCAGAGGAGGATCCAACTCAAGACTTCTTGCCACGTAAGTGAAAGATTACTTCTGCGGCCAGTCCTTGTGCTTCTCCTACACATAAGGTTCCCCTCGCACATATGTGCTAGTCGTTCCTGGCTCTAGGGGGCGCTGCTCAAATCCGTTGCAAAGCCGAAGACCCAGCGCTGTCCGAAGATGTCTCTGTGGTCATGTGACCGGCATGACTAAATGCACGGGCCACTGTTACCTTCCCACCAAAGTGGTCCCTATTTTTCTACTTGCATTTTTTAACGTGCTTTCAAACTGCTAGGTTGACAGAAGCTGGGACAAAGAACGGGAGCTCACTCCATTATGCGGCACTAGGGATTCAAACCGCCGAACTGCCAACCTTTCTGATCCACAAGCTCAGCATCTTAGCCACTGAGCGTCCCTCCTACACATACTTCTGCCTTTAATTCCCCAATAGCTGACTCAACCGTCTTCCAAATACTGTTTGTCCATCTCCTTTTATCCTGATCATAGGGAACACAAGGTTGTCATTGGAAATGGCTGAAACTTCTCCTTTGTCTGGTGGAGCCGCAACAGCTCAGGTAAGGTATAGTACATAAAATTATATATTGCAATGTCCTACCTGTCAATGAATACTTCAGCTTCAACCGTAACAATACAAGAGCACACAATAGATACAAACTCAAGGTTAATCGCACCAAACTTGATTGCAGGAAATACGACTTCAGCAACAGAGTGGTCAATGTCTGGAATACTCTACCTGACTCTGTGGTTTCTTCCCCAAACCCCCAAAACTTTAACCATAGACTGTCTACTATTGACTTCACCCCTTTCCTAAGAGGTCTGTAGGGAGCGTGCATAAGCGCACCAACGTGCCTACCGTCCCTGTCCTATTATTTCTTTTATTTTTTAATTTTTCTTATATATATCCATTTCATGTATTCATAACTATGTTTATACTTATACCTGTTATCTTATAATGGCTTGACAAAATAAAAATAAATAAATAAAAATAAGGAGCCATCATCAGAGCAGGAAGTCCTTTAGCGGGTTCATTAGTGTCATAAGAGTCTACACAAAATTTATTAAGGAGGCCAAATGTCGAAATTTAGCTGGGTCCACTTTCAAGATGAAAGCACCCACCGCTCTCCTAGAAGAATGAAATATTCTAGGAAATATTAAAAAGGCAGACTATTATATTTCCTTGGATGAGAAAAGGATATGTTTTGTCTTTAAAGACAAAACAGCTTCCTGCAGCTCCCTGGGGGATTAGGATTAGCCCTCTACCCATCTCACCACAAGGCACTGGGAAGATTGCATCACCCAGCAAGATTCAACCAAGCTACCCCCTGCATGGCCCCATGGGAGTCTGACAACCATACATTTCTTTCGACAGGAGGAGGAAGCAAGTTCAAAGCCAGAGAGGTTAGAAAACCCAGGGATAACAGATAACAGATAATCAGAGTTGGAAGGGACCTTGTAGGTCATTTAGTCCAAACCCCTGCCCAAGCGGGAGACCCTACACCATTTCTGACAGATGGGAGTCCAGTCTCTTCTTGAAAGTCTCCAGTGATGAAGCTCCCACAACTTCCAAAGGCAAAGCTGCTCCATTGGTTGATGGTTCTCACTGTCAGAAATTTTCTCCATATTTCCAGGTTGAATCTCTCCTTGTTTAGTTTCCATCCATTATTCCTTGTCTGGCCTACAGACGCTTTAGAAAATAGCTTGACCCCTTCCTCCTCTCTGGGACAGCCCCTCAAATATTGGAAGACTGCTATCAAGTCTCCCCTGGTCCTTCTCTTTACTAGACTAGCCAAGCCCAGTTCCTGCAACCGTTCTTCATATGTTTTAGCCTCCAGTCCCCTGATCATCCTGGTTGCTCTTGTCTGCACTTGTTCTAGAGTCTCAACATCTTTTTTATAGTGTGGTGACCAAAACTGGATGCAGTATTCTAGGTGTGGTCTTACTAAGGCTACTACAACTTACTAAGGCTACTACGGGACTCTCAGCATGTCTTCCTTTGTCGCCCAGGAGCTCCAAGGCATGTGATCCTGTCCACCATTAAAACCATCCTTCCAAGCAGCTTCCATGTTTCCAGTGTCTTTCTTCCCACTTGGAACTGAACCCAGGGGGACATTTTTCCAACAGTTTAAGCACAGGCTACAGAAGTTCTCCATAGGAGGCCAAAATTGAATCCAATAACATGGATGTTTCTTTCATGGGTTCCAATAAGAGAATCTTGCAAGTCTGAGTGAGTGCATCTCATCCCTTATCTTGATGAGAACTAGGGAGAGTCACCCCAAGACATTTTCTCAAATTATATTTCTGTCCCAGATTCAGATTTCTTTTGTATATATCAGGGGTCCCCAACCACTGGGCCCCGGACCGGTACCGGTCCGTGGAACATTTTCTACTGGGCCGCCGGTTTGCTGGGCGCCGCCATCTTGTTTTGATGACAGCACATATCCAAGCAGAGCCAGTTAAAAGTATAAAAGGAAAAACAGTTCAAGATGCTTGGGAAAACACACACACACACACACACACACACACACACACACACACA